ATATATATATATATATATATATATATATATATATATATATATATATATATTTGTGTGTGTGTGTGCGCGCACGCACGCATAAGTGCGCATGCACACAGATATACTTAAATAGGAGTAAAAACTCCATTTGAAGTATACTTAGGGTAAAAAGGGATGCTGTGGCTCAGTGGCTCAGATGCTGAACTTGTCGATCAGAAAGGACGGCAGTTTTGAATCCCTAGTGCCGCGTAATGGAGTGATCTACAGTTACTTGTCCCAGCTTCTGCCAACCTAGCAGTTCGAAAGCATGTTAAAAATGCGAGTAGAAAAATAGGGACCACCTTTGGTGAGAAGGTAACAGCGTTCCGTGCACCTTCGACATTTAGTCATGCCGTCCACATGACCACGGAGACGTCTTCGGACAGCACTGGCTCTTCAGCTTTGAAACGGAGATGAGCACCGCCCCCTAGAGTCAGGAATGACTAGCACATATGTACGAGGGAACTTTTACCTTTACCAGGGTAAAAATAGCTGACATTGGAGTAACATGAGAGTTATTTCCGCTTTGCAATAAGAAGAGGGATAGAAATAAGGTGGAATCTCTTTCCTGATTTGCAGAAGTAGGGCCAGTGAAAGATCAAATGACCTGAATTGTTACGGGAAGTTTTACTGTTTCCTTCCATAGAAAAACTTATCACATTTCTTTTTTTTTTAAATGCTCACTTCTATTCATCATGCAAGTATAATTCAAAATAAACACACTCACTGTTTAATATCATTTCATTTTTAAGGAGGACCTTCTACGCTTAAAGAAACAGATGAGAGTTTTTTGTCAAATCTGTCAGCACTACCTTACCAATGTAAATACTGCTGTTAAAGAACAGGTTAGTCACAGATTTTAATATCTGACCATTAGACGGTTTTAATGCAGGAATCATTTTTGATTGGCACTAACCATTGTGTGTAGGAAAGTGCAGCATTATTTGTGTGCCCTGGTTAATGAAACAGATCTGAAACTCCTTGTTTTTTGTTTTTGTTTTTTTCAAATTTTGCCCTGCCAACTGTATTGAAACAGAAGGAGAGGTCTGTATACTTTTTGAAAGGGCAAAACCTAAGAAGGTGCCAAGTCATATATTTGTATAAAAGATAGTATAATTTCATTACTAACAAAGTCAGTACAGCTAAGGTAAAAGTACACAGTAAATACAAGAAAAGATAATGCTGTAAAAATGAATAATAAATCTGTTAGTTCCAAATAATGACTTTGAATGACTTCTATTCAACGAGACGGTTTTGTATTGTGACAATACTTTTAAAAACATAGTCGGGTATGTTAACACAATTTTCTAAGCGTCTATGGAGATTCTCAGTCATTCAGATCATGGTTGTCCCGAAGGTGCTTTTTTTTTCAAGAGGCAACTGGGCTTTCTGGTTTATTTTGAAGATGTTTAGCTTCTCCTAGAAGCTTCTTCAGCTCTGACTGGATGGTGAGGAATGGCATTCCACTGGTTCATTGTTCTCACCATTAGGAAATTTGGTTGATTCTTTTTTTGGTTAGTTTCCATCCACTGGTTCTTGTCTTGACTTCAGGCGCTTTGGAGAATAGCTTGATGACGCTCCCCCTCCCCTTTCTTTTGGCAGCCCCTCAAATATTGGAATACTGCTATCAAGTCGCCCCTAGCTCTCCTAGACATACCCAATTCCTGCAACCGTTCTTCTTATGTCTTAGTCTCCCAGCCTAAGAAAAACCAGAAAGTCCAGTTGTCTCTTGAAAAAAGCACGTTGGGGTAATTTTCTCAGTGCAGTGGTTCTCAACCGTTTCTTCACCACAGACCCCCGAGACTTAACACAAGATTTAAATCATAACATTTCATCAAGCCTCCACAGACCCTCTGTGATGACATCCCTTCCCCCCCCCCAGGGTCCGTGGACCACAGGTTGAAAACCACTGTTCTAAGGGCCTAACTTTCTAGAGGCTTGACTTGTGATAAAGATTTGTGTTTTTCTTTCTCCCTTCCTTTTTTAACAAGGCCTGTCATTCCTTCCCTTGCAGGCCTTCACTATTTTGTGTGATGTGTTAATGATCTTCAGCCATCAGATCATGTCAGGTGGACGTGACATGTTAGAGCCATTAGTTTACACTCCTGATTCTTCCTTACAGTCTGAGCTCCTGAGTTTTATTCTTGATCATGTCTTTATTGACCAAGACGATGATAGCAACAGTGCAGGTATGGGTTCTGCGGAGATGTGTCTCTGTGATTTCTTTTTCATAGCAACAGGTTCTCACGTCTCTTTTTCTCCCTGAATTGTACTTTATTTTTTTTTAACATAGCCAGACATGGAGGTTACAACCGGAATTGCAGGGTTAGATCTTGGTCTCCACAGAGTGTTTATTTGGTCTCCCAAGGATGGTACTTAGTTAGAAAAGAGTAGGACTTTAGTCCTGTCCCCTTTGAGATGTAGAGGTACAACTTGCTCAGCCTTACTTGTCCTGCTGAGGTTTTTCCTATGAGAAAGTCTGGAATTACGTATCTGTGGAGATTCTCAGTCATCCAAGGTCATGGTTGTCCCAAAGGTGCTTTTTTCAAGTGGCAACTGGACTTTCTGGATTTTTCTTTGAAGACGTTTCACTTCTCATCCAAAAAGTTTCTTCAACTCGGAGAGCAGAAGAAGCTTCTGAGAGAAGCTGAAGAAGCTTCTCGGATGAGAAGCGAAACCTCTTCAAAGAAAAAACCGAAAGTCCAGTTGCCTCTTGAAAAAAGTACCTCTGGAATAATGTGTTTCTCATATGCAAAGGCGAGAGCCCTTGAGCTCTGTTTTCATCTTATCTTGGGTCACTTTGCTCTTGAAGCTATAGTTTAAATTTTTCTGATGTATGGAGTCTTTGGTGCGCTCTGAATTTTTATAATGAATGTTTGGTGAGCTGTTGTGTGAACTTCCTTAAAATCCCATAGCTCAGGTGATTGAGGAAAAAAATGACTGGAGGCCTGTAAACAAGCTTTAAAACTACCAGCTACTCTAAGAATTTAAGTTATCTTTTTTAAGGTTTTGTTAATTTGTCAATTTTGCAACTCGGAAACATATAAAGGCTTTTTTAAAGTAGTTCATTTCAAGCTAATACTAATGGGGACTTTACCACTTTGAATAAATCTTTTAAGTCTGTTTTTGGTAGCTCACAAAGCATGTTATTCTTTCTCTTGCTATGAACTGTTACCTCGTTAGAATACTGCAGGGCAAAACCAGGTTATAAAGATGTGGTTGATACCGCAATCCTATTGAAATGCCTGTTCCTGAATGAATGCTCATGTACATTCTTTTTTTTTCTTTGTGTTAAAGATGGACAGCAGGATGATGAAGCCAGTAAGATAGAAGCGTTGCACAAAAGAAGAAATTTGCTTGCGGCTTTTTGTAAACTTATTGTATATACCGTGGTGGAAATGAACACTGCTGCAGATATTTTTAAGCAATATATGAAGGTAATGAAAGCCTACAGGGAAAAGGGATCTGAGGTTCTCATATAAAAATAGGGAATGAATGTGATTGTATTAAATCTCTGGAGGCTTCTTCCTTCATTATTAAGGGAGTCCTTCTGGATAACTCTCATTGCCTTGGCTAAAACCAGAAATTAAATGAACATATATTTAAAGCAAGTTACCGTGTAGTTCCTCCAGTTTGAAACGAAGCTACTTTTACTTCTGCTCTTCGTCTCCCAACATTTTTTCATGCCTCTCACAAAGGAATATATTCTAATTGAAATTGAAACTATCTTTATTTTTTTATCCTGATAGTATTACAATGACTACGGAGATATCATCAAAGAAACAATGAGTAAAACGAGGCAAATAGACAAAATTCAGTGTGCAAAGACATTGATTCTCAGTTTGCAGCAGGTATGTTTTTGCTATTCCACGTACTTATATTGGTTATTGGTTAAAGACAAGCCTTATTAAAAAAAAAACTAAAGAGAGTCAATGTTAACCCTATATGTAATCCTGTTGGACAAGTTTTATTAACAGCGATAAAAATAAGCAAAAGTGCATAGAAAGACCTCTAGTATAATTAGAATAGTATTCTGCATGTTAGGCAAGTTTCAATTTCAAATTTAAAAAGTAGAATTTCTGAAGCAATTGACTTATTTCTAATGAAATAAGTAAGAGATTCTTCCCGCATTTGAATAGTTCAATGTCCAGTTGAGTTGCTCAAACACTTGAAGAATCTCTTAATTATTTTTAAACAATTTCAAATTGTTTAAAAAGTGTAGAATTTCTGAAGCAATGAGATCACGACTAATGAAATAATTAAGAGATTCCTAACACTTTTGAACAGCTCAGTTGGACATAAGCTTTCATTTTTGAGATCTTAGGTACCACTGTAAAGCAGGGTGGCGTGTCACTCCCAAATTATCCTAAAGAATGGGGAAACAAGAGGAATCACACATAGAGTTTCCTATTCCAATTCTGCCTCTTATTGTGAGGGAATAGTAGTCAGACCATTGTGGAGAACTTTTGTATTCAGATGAACCAGAAAAACTACATTCAGACATTTCATTGTTTTATTTCTTGCCATTAAGTGCAAGAGGTTAGCTTGTAATTCAGTAAACTTTACAGTTGTGTTTTTATGAAGCAGTCTTTAAACCTATTTTCATTCCTGCATATTTGCTGAAATGTAAGCCAAATATAATACTGAAAGGTTTATATAAAATGTTGTTTGAAGTCTGTTTTTTGTAGTTTAATAATGTTAGGAGAGAGGGAGAGAGAGAGAGAGTGCATTAAAACACTACTGAAACAGTGCTGTTCAGTAACCCACAAGTTGTATTATGATTGGGAAAAATGTTTTGTTTACGCAGCTTTTCAATGAGATGATCCAGGAAAATGGGTATAATTTTGATAGATCGTCGCCGTCTTTCAGTGGGATTAAGGAACTGGCTCGGCGTTTCGCTTTAACGTTTGGACTCGATCAGCTGAAAACAAGAGAAGCCATTGCTATGTTACACAAGTAATGATTGACTTTTTCTTTACTTTGCAAAGAATTGAATTTCCCTCCCATCATTCTTTCCCTTGTCACCATCAGATGAAGAGAGTCCCCCACCAATAAGCAAAAATGATAAGACATGAAATAAGTAAGATAGTTAAATATAGCTTACTCTTAACACTGTTCACCATTCATGATCACTCCTATGGTGTAATCAGAATGGGAAGAGGAGAAAACATTATTGATAATAAATATTAAAGAAATAAGTGGTTGCCATCAGATAGGGCCATAGATGTTGGTTTCTGATTCTTGTTCTGATTCTGTTCTGATATGATTTTACTAGGTTTCTTTGCTGCTCTACTAACTGACTTTAAGCTTTTATATAGTGTTTTTAGTCTGTTCTAGATTACTGGCCATATGCACTATTCCTGCTTAATAATGAGGATAATTTCAGACACATTTTGCGTACAAATTCAACCAGTATTCTTGGTTACACCAACTTGCTCCTGTTAATCTGCACGAGCTATAAAATAATAAATTTGAGAAAAACAAATTAGAACCAGCGCATCTGTCGGATTATATTGGGTTTATATGTAAAAATATTTTGTGTAGAAAACTGCCGGTTTCAGGCAGTTTGTGTCTAAATCAAAATTCGGGGGCTATGGATAGAGATAAGGGTTACTCTGGTTGGAACAAGATTTTAGCAAGTGGCTAAAAATGGAAAAAGCCAAGGAAACAGCAGTGATTTCTGAGCAGGGGAAGCAGGCCCCCAGGGGAGCTGGTGGGATGTGCCACGCTGGGAGGTGCTGAGGAGGTGACAAACTCACTCTGGTTTCCCACTGGGTTTTGTTTCCACTGAACCACAACTCAGCTGGTGTGGTTTGGCACGATTTCCAGAATGTGATGCATTTGGGGTTTGAGCAAAACACTTTTTTTTTCTTCATGCACATCTCCGAGATTTAAATTTGTCATATGTTCAAATCCTGGATCTCCTCTGGCTATGACTCAGTCTGGTTTTGACCCCAAATAAATTTCTCACTTGTAAGAGGCATATAATTTACTCCGTGTGTCTTAAATATAGCAGCACTGATTGAAGTGTAATACCATTTATTCTTTTGAAATATTCAGGGTTTGATGTCAATCTCTTTTGTGTCAGGAAAATACTCTTAGCAATGCTCACTTGAATTATTATTTTTTTCAGAGATGGGATAGAGTTTGCTTTTAAAGAGCCTAACCCACAAGGAGAAAGCCATCCACCTTTAAATTTGGCATTTCTGGATATATTGAGTGAATTCTCTTCCAAACTTCTCAGGCAAGACAAAAAAACTGTGTAAGTGTTTTACAGCTATTTTCACAGTGTTTTAGAAGCATAGTTAAGGGATTTTTTTTTTTAATTTTCAGTGAAACTGGTCTTAAAATAGGGTGGGCAACTACTCGCTGATTTTTCAGGGTAAGGAAGAACACAAATTTCTGGAACTGGGAGGATGAAGAAATATTTCTTCTGGTTCATTCCAGTTGTAAAAATCTATCCTTTATCTAACTCTGTTCCAGATTTTCCAGGTTTTTGTAATTTTCTTAGTAGAGAGGAAATAAAAAAGATTACTTGACACATGTTGTTAATGGTGGCAAAAATATATTATCAGAAAATTGGTGACCATACAAATCACCCATTATCTCTTCTACATTATAATTTTGAACAGCAGCAGTAACTACCTTTAATAATTCAGTCAATCAACTTAAAAGTCAATCCAGGAAGTATTTCTAGTAATCCCTTGCTCCTCCTTTCTTTTGAAGGTACGCTTATCTGGAGAAGTTTATGACCTTTCAGATGTCACTTCGAAGAGAGGATGTGTGGCTTCCACTCATGTCTTACAGGAATTCTTTGCTAGCTGGGGGTGATGACGACACGATGTCAGTCATCAGCGGGATTAGTAATCGAGGGTCAACAGTAAGGAACAAGAAGACAAAACCGGCTACAGGGAAGCGGAAACTCCCTGAAGGTTTGCAGTTATTTATTGTGGTTTTCCTTGGTGTATAGAGTCTATACAGGTAATCCTCCACTTACAACTATTCATTTAATGGCCATTCAAAGTTACAACAGCACTGAAAAAAGTGGCTTATGACCGTCACATAAGTGTGAAACTTACGTTGCAGCGTCTTCAGGCTCCCATTATCAAAATTCAGACACTTGGCAACTGGCATGTATTTTATGACAGTTGCACGGTCCCGGTGGTCACCTGTCACCTTTTATAACTTTCCCAGCCGGCTTCTGGCAAGCAGAGTCAATCAGGGAAGCCAGGATCACTTAATAACCCCATGATTCACTTCACAACTGCAGGGATTTGCTTAACACTTGTATGTGTGGGGAGGAGTTTGTAAAATGAGGCACAGCTCACTTTGTTAGCCACTTTGCTTGGCAGTGGGAATTTGGGGCTCAGTCATGCTTGTAAGTAGAGGACTATCTGTATTTACATCCCCTACATTGTGCCATAGATTAAGAGCCTACTTGGTTTGTTTCCCATCAGAATGGTGCCTTCTGGTTTGGAAAACTTAAGGTTAACACTAATCAAGATTACATCCCAATTATAATCAGATGTTGTAGACCATGCTTTGTAAGTAATGGCACCCACTGCTTATTTGAAGGCGAGTGTCTTGATCCTGACTTACAAACGCAAGCAAATTAGAGCTCTGAGGCTAAGGTTGTCTTCTTGCTCTAAGAACTTCTTTCTTGGGTACATCATATTGGCACGATCAAATGGAAAACCAGTTCTAAATGTTTCCCGCGGTTTCACTATAATTAAAATAGGAAAGAACTCCCTCCCCAAAAGTCACAGGTCACGTTTGCCAATTAGGTTAATTGGCAGGCTCTCCAGGCACCACTCCCCCGTCTCTATCCACCATCTCTAGAGGTGACCTTGGTTCCCATGAGAAAGTTCTGTGTTTTGTCTAGTGATGCATTTCATCCTCCTTCCTTTTCCTCCCACTCTTGTGTGGCAACGGAGGAATAGGAAAGGTAGGTTCGATTCATAGTTGACAACTAGGCTATAGCCCTGCTGATGATACCTAGTTTGGCAATAAAATGTCTGCAAGAAAGCCACCGAGCCCCCGCGGATTGCAGATACCGTCCGAGGAGCCCACGGATTCTGAATTGATGCAGAGCCCCTGCTTTGTCTTTGCAGCTGAGGAGAGCAGCAGCAGCGACAGCCTGTGGCTGAACAGGGAGCAGGCCATGCACACGCCCATCATGTTACAGACGCCGCAGCTCACTTCCACCATTATGAGGGAGCCCAAAAGGTTGCGGCCGGAAGAGAGCTACATGGGCGTCTACCCCATGCAACCCGAGCACCATCAGGCGCCCATCGACTACAAGTACATGCTTGCTTTTAATTGGGCCTTATCCCCTCCCTGCTCAAATACCGCACCTGTCCCTTTTTTTTGTAAAGAAAGGTGTCATTCCTTCCAGTACGCAGGTAACATGGATGCTGGCTCAAAGACAGCAGGAGGAAGTGGCCAGGCAGCAGCAGGAAAGGGCAGCAATGAACTACGTGAAGCTGAGAACCAACTTGCAGCACGCCATGTGAGTACACAACGGCTGTTTTCCCAAGCTGGGCACTGGCTTTACACACTTGCACACCGGTAGTTAGAAATTGGGTTGCAACAATTTTATATGAAGTGGGTAAAAGTCTTCTTAAGGAGCATTAAACCTTTCCTTCAAAGATAACTTTTCTGGATAGAAAGTAGAACTCTATATTATTGATGCTTCAGACAAACATCACCAATCTATGTATCGTTACCAAGAAGAGAAATGATTATTTTTTTCAGTTGCTCTCCAATTAATATTGAACGATACTGAAGATTATTCGACTAACACGGAAAATTAAACCCTCATGTGAAAAGTGGGGCTAAGCCTCTTCACAAATGTTAATGCTATTTTCGTAATAAGAATTTTTCCATACGGGGCTGGCAGTTTTTAATGCTTGAAAGAACACTCGGTGTTGCGTGACTTGAGTGGCACTCATATCCATGTTTAAATGTTCTTTAGCCGACGTGGCACTAGTCTCATGGAGGATGACGAAGAGCCCATCGTCGAAGATGTGATGATGTCATCAGAAGGGCGCATCGAGGATCTCAATGAAGGCATGGACTTTGATACCATGGACATAGACCTAGTAAGAATCAGTTACTTAACTCTCGTTGCCAAAAAAAAAAAAACATTCAAACCAACAAACCATTCTCCTTCCTTTAGAAGATTGGATATATTCTGTAATAACTTTTTCCACTTAAAATGTTGATTTGCCTTAGTTTAAATGCTGAGCCTCTTCTCTTCCTAGATAGATGTATGCAAACCTGGCCTCTCTTATGTCAGGGTTGGAGGGAAACACTCTAATGGCTCTGCATGAATAAATACAATTAAATCAACCCAATACACTGATAACCTGGTTTGCCTTTTAGCCACCATCAAAGAACAGAAGAGAAAGAACAGAGTTAAAGCCAGATTTCTTTGACCCTGCGTCAATCATGGATGAGTCTGTAAGTAGGACGGGACCAGTTTGGGTGAATTGCGGTTTCTTTCCTGGTTGGGGTTTCGGACGTGACCCTTCTAAGTGGGGTGGGTGTTAGGCCCTGCTAGGGTGGCTGGCGTGGTTCAGAATCCTTAGGAATAATTCTGAATTATCTCTGCTGCTGGGAATGGGTAGATCCTTCATCTTTCCTCTGAGACTAGGAGGAAATCAATGATAATGGCAGGAGAGGAATTCCGTTGCAGTCTTTCCCAGAGTCTAGGGCCAGGGAGACTCATCATGGCCACAAACTTTGATGACTACCTTAACATTAAATTACCATATCAAAGGCTGTAATTAAAATAGTCACTGAAAACTTGCCCTAGAGAACATGCATTCCAATAACAGGCGATGTTATTTCTTTGATTCCGCTGTTAATGTGTTTCTGCCCCCTGCCCCCCTCAAAAAAAAACCACAAGGTTTGTACTGTTCTTATTTGAGTGGGTCTCAGGTACAGGTAATTATTGACTAAGGACCACAGTTGAGTCCAGAATTTCCATTGCTATTATAAGTGAGCCCTTCCTTCCTTCCTTCCTTCCTTCCTTCCTTCCTTCCTTCCTTCCTTCCTTCCTTCC